CTTCTGGAAACTGGAAACTGAAAATTTTAATGGTTAAATGGAAACATCACTTGCATGGTTTATTTAATTTGGCACTTTTTAATAACCTCTATTTGAACAATTTCCCATAATAGGTTCTCACTGAACAAGAGATAAGAATCTAAGAAGTATTTGAGATTGTGGATTATAGTGGAAACTGTGATAGTGATATTTCAGAAATCACTCACCAGAGAGCCTTTGAAATGCCTGGATCTTGTCAGGGAAAGCACTGACTCCCTCTCCCTCTCCCTTCTATGACATATTAAAATACCTGCAACCGCTCTGTTCAAAGCAGTGACAACTATTTGGCATCGTAAAGCTTACAGAACAAATATCCTGTATCAAGGCAGCCCAGTGAAAGCAGCATGCTTTCTGGAGCACCACAAAACCCTCAAGCCCCCGCCCCCCTTTTGACCTAGTTAATAGGAAGTATGTTTGCTGAGAACTCAGCCCCGAAGCACATTCAGCTTGAACCCAGGGGTTGAGTAAATTCTAACCTGGCAGTTGGGTTTCCACACTCATAACCCACGGTTTCTGTGAGGAATTGCACCTCGAAAATTAATGAATGGAAAGAGTGATGGTAGAGAATAAGAACTTCTCTTAGGCTGTCCCAGAAGAGGAACAATCTCTGGCCTGAAACACAGCTTGTCTCTGGGCTTTGGGCAGAAATCCCTCAACCAACACTGGGCTGGTGACGGCGAGTAATCAGTCACCTGCACTCCAGTACAGGGAATGGGTGTTAAGTAAAAATTTTAATTTTTAATGCTTGTTTTTTGGATGAAGGTCCTTCACTAGGAAAATGAACTAGCAATTCAAACCAAAGTGAAGGGGCCTATGCTCAGTGCCAAACTGAAGGTTAAGATCAGGGTTGCCTGAAAATAGGGGGCTCAACAACATCCTGTATTAAAGGTTCATTCAACTGGACCTGGTGTGAGGCAGACCCATTCTGCTTTAACCAAAAGTAACATGGTGGTTACTGCTTTGATTTCCTGATCCAGTTTATATAATCACCTGTTCTGATCTCCATCACCACTTTTTTTTTCTGTTTATAGGATGAGGTGCCCTTTGAACAAGAACTGTAAGTAAAACACAGAACTGAAAACCAAAGTTGCTGGATTATTTCTTTTAATAGAAGTGATACTTATTTTATATTTTTCCCCCTTTTTCTTAAACCAACAATTTGCCTTTCTCTGAAACTGTGAAGATTTCTCATTTTCCCTCTAAATAAATTGCATATCATCTCTACTCTTATATCAATCCTCAAAAGAGAAACAGCAAAGCACTGGCATATTGAGAGGGTGATTTTGTTCCTGCAGATATGGACAAGCTAACATGATTTCATACATCAGACAAGTTGTTTGTCTATGGTTTGATTTTTACAATGTAGGCATAGTTTATTGTTTAACGCATTGATTCAAGGCACATGGTGCAAGTTTGTTATTAAAGTCTAAAACTTACCTCCAACTCTCCTCCACCTCATCCTACAGCTCGCTGTCTCATTTGAAAGACATGCATGCTTGATCAGCTGCCTGGAGTTAACTAGGACAGTGACCTTATTACAGAACAGGGAAGTGCCCTAGTTTTCGGGCAGCCAAGCATGAGGCCAGATGATAGTGGGGTCTGTTCTGGCTCTTCTTGTCTATGATTGGGAGCCAAGGAAGAAGAGAGAACTTCTATAGTATTTTCAAAAGTGTGGGGGAAGGGAGCCCTTCTGATCTTTCACCCCAAATGGCAAAGATGTACTGAAGAACGACTCTGGCGTTAGAAGCCTGGTGAAAGGAGAAGGAGGTAGCTCAGTTAGGTGACAAACTGCTTGCTGTGAAAGCATGAGGACATGAGTTTAGTGCCTCGTGCCTGCTGTAGGAGGTCCTTCTGTCTATGTGCTGCTTTTATGGGTTGAATAAAGAAACTGCCTTGGCCTTTTGACAGAGCAGCACTTAGGTAGGCAGAGTAGACAGAACTGAATTCTGGGAGGAAGAAAGCAGAGACAGAGAGCCGCCATGGAGCTGTCAGGTCAGACACGCTGAATCTTTAGAAATGGGTTAAATCAAAATGTGAGAGTCAGTCAGTAGGAGGCTAGAGCTAATGGCCAAGCAATGTTTAAATTAATACAGTTTCTGTGTGGTTATTTTGGGTGTAAGCTAGCTGGGGGATGAAAAGCAGACCATCTCTCCCTCATCAAGTGCCCACATCACATTCCTGGCATGATGCCATAAATCTGTAATCCCTGCACTGAGTGAGTAGAGACGAGAGGATTCCTAAGGCTCCCTGACCAGCAAGACTAATTAGTGTGCTTCAGGTTACAGTGTAAGGCCTTGTCTCACAAAAATATGTGAAAGACTCCTTTTGAATAGTACACAGGTTTAACCTCTGGCCTCTACACCCACATGCACACCTGCAAACACACAGTCACAGACACATAAACACATCGAAAACAAAAGGTCCATAGATATTTATACAAATAATTAAAGGAACTTTCATACCTTTATAATATTGTGAACACAAACTGATTTAGTATGTTTTGAGATTGACTTGACTAAATTTTTCTTAATAATGACAGAAACAGTAATTCACAACAGGGCCTATGGGATTAGGAACAAGAGATTATATGAGAATCTCCCTATATATGGCTACTTGTTTGTTTATTGAAATGTGATCTTACTATGTACCCCTGACTGGCCTGGAACTCCTGATATAGAATGGGCTATCCTTGAACTCTGCCTGCCTCCCAAGTGCTGGGATTAAACACAGAAGCCACCATGCCTGTCTGGAGAATCTTCTTATATTTTATCAAAAACATGCATTTATAAGAATTAAATACTAACATACCTTGAAGTTTTTAACATATATTTCAATAAATTATTGAAATATCGTGCTTACAAGTACTTTCGTTTCATAAAAAAAGCCATGGAGGTTGAGGTCAGCTAATCAAATTATACAAGATCACACAGCTCACTGGGAGGACAGTGAGACAAAGGGAATTTGGAAATGCATCCTGAATCTTGGTTTCAAAATCTCTCATTGGGATCAAGCAGCTTCAAAGTTAATTATTTTAGTTTGGAAAACAAATTCACCAACAAAATCCAAATAAAAACATGAAAAGAGCATCATTTAAACTTTTTACTGTTGCCAAGACTCAGGTTGATCAGTATTTTAAGGTCTAGCCTTAAAAGTCTTTGCTCAGGGCCCTAAAGAGATGCTACAGTAAATGAAAGAACTAGTTTCTGAGGGCTGTAAAGAAAGTCTTCTCACAACACTTTCTTTCTATTCGCGTGCAATTTATCTATTTCTTGTTCTCTCCTTTCTCTTCTGCTTCAAATCTAGTTCTTTTGTCCTAATTGTCTACAACCTCCTAGCTCTAATTCTCTGTCTCAATTCTAATTCTCTCTCTCTCTCTCTCTCTCTCTCTCTCCCTTCCTTCCTTCCTTCCTTCCTTCCTTCCTTCCTTCCTTCCTTCCTTCCTCCCTCCCTTCTTCCTTCCCTTCCTCTTTTCCTTCCTTCCTTCCTCCCTCCCTCCTTCTCTTCTTCCTCCTCCTCCTCCTCTTCTTCTTCCTACATTTTTATTTTTTCTATATTCTTATCCTTTTACATGTCTGCTAACTTCTTCCAGCTTCTCCTTCCAGTTACTACTTCTTTAGTCTGGTTTCTCAAAATCTTTGGAGACTTGAAGCAAAAGAAAGAGTTATCAGACTAACTCTCATTGGTCAGAAGCACATCCCTATACTAAGCAATAAGGGCAGAGTCATTGCCATTGCCATGGCAACATAAGGGTCCAGGGTTACAGAACTGAGACTGTGGCCAGAGGGCAGGGGGTACAGTTAGATAAGCTTTGAGACATAGGTATTTAGTTAACAGACTGGCAAGTGAAGAATAGGTATGCTTTAAGGTTAATGCGAGGTTAGCTTGGGACAACACTTTGCTTTCTGCTGACAGAGTGAATCTAGAACAGTCTTGCTCCGTTTCTCTCCAAGAGCTATGGCTCAATAACTTCAGGCATGCTGTAATTCTTGTTCTTTGGCATCTATGAAAGTCTCAATTGAGGTCCCTTTGCCTGGACACTGACTTTGACCAACTGTCTGTGAAGGAAGATAATTACAGGGAGGAAGACTTCTAAGTTTATACAAGAACCTGGTTGTGAGAGTAAGGGTATTGACTGTGATTACTTTCTTGCCGGAATTACACATTGCTGAGAAGAACCATTCAATATACCAAATGCAAAGGGGAAAATTATGCCTAGTAAACAATTAATACACTGTAGTGTTGTGGGAAGAATCCCAAGCTGTAATTCTTGAAGGAAAGAGCTGTTCACACAAGAAATCTACATTGAGGACAGCTAGCCCATTCAGAAGGCCGCATACCTTATCATCCTGCTAAATATCTCCATCAGAGGTGCCTCTCAGAGAGAGTATCACTTATCACCTCTCTAAATAAGGTCTATCTCCATGAGATATGCATCTCTGATGGTTTGACTCCCGAAGTCCTTGCTTAGCTCTCAATGCATAATTCTGCAGTACACCACAGATCAGGAATTCACCATCCTGCTTCCTCTACTTTCAGAGTGCTGGATTACAGGTGTGCACAGTCATTCTTACCTAAGAGCAGTCTCTCCGACCTGAGGTGCTGACTTTCACAGAGACTATTCATTCAGGCTAGCGTGGAAAAATTGTCCTCTGGGGATATTTGCAATATTGTAAAATTTATGGTGTTCCCATCAAGCCTTCCCACTTCTGTCTTGTTTTGAAAACCCAGCAGATGAAGGCACACTGGGCCCTATGTAGCAGTGACTGTCCCAGTGAGCCATGATCTTTCTTCTCAGTATGGGCCTCACCAGCCTCTATAACTCAGAGTTCATCAACCTGACTCTGCAGACATTTGAGTTGAGCTCCTATCTTAAACCTAACAAAGGTAAACTATGTTGATTTGCTTCAGTTCAAAAGTCAAGCAATTATCAGTTAACCGTTATGATGCACCACAGTACTTACATCCAGAGAAAATGTCTTTTCCACAAATGAGTGTCTCTTGAAAATGTCCAGGACATTCAGCAGTGCAATACATATAGGCATGAGGCTCCCAAAAGCCTTTATACCAAAGTTGAGCTGTTGTTATATTAATCATGGTGATATGGAATTCTTCTTTGAAGCCATTTTTATAAATTTTTTTATAATTTTTATAAAAATTAAGCTTCGTTGGTTGGCAGTTCTTAAGGGCTTCTTGGCAATATATAGAAACATTCATCCCCATCTGAAAAATTTCACCAGGTTCTACCCACATGTTACCAGAGCAGTTTATAGTTGTAATACCTGCAAATGAACACATAAAATAATCAGTTGTTTGCAACTGATTTAAGGGATTTAGAAGAAGAATATGCTACTTCATGTAAAATATATTCTTTCAATAACTGAATGATTACTGAAGAATAGCTATGTGTTTCCACTATGGTTCCCCTGATGGCCAGCTGCTTAACCCAGCCTTTAAGCTTTCCTCATTGTCAGAGAGAAAATACAATTTCCTCTTCTACAGTAAGGTGGAAAATGTTATGAAGCCACAGATTTTTTTTCCAAATATGAGACTCAAAGTAGACCGGACACCACAGAATCCAACTCTTCTCTTGATATTCAACCTATCTTTTGCTGTTTGGGAGGGTGTTTTTGTTTGTTTGTTTGAGATAAAACTACTTTTATCAGCATAATGTGAATAAAATGATCAAATCCTTCCAAAAAGAGAGCACTTAATAACCACATGAAACACATCACTAATTTACTAATATAGGCGAAACATAATACATTATTGAGTTAAAGGGCAAGTTGCAAAACAACATGGTTTATGAAAGCTCAACATTGAAAAAAGCAAATAATGATCAAATCAAGGAGAAATACTAAAAGTTGTTAGTAGCATCAATCTCAGTGTTAATACTTTTATTTTAAATTGTGTATATCTGTGAATTAAATACGATACAATGGGAATATTACTTTCATGACACCAAATCAGTAACTTAAAGTTTAGTGCAGCGCTTGCGTTGAGTTACATTCCTATCAGTCTCCCCTGACATAAAGTCATTTGTATAAAATCAAATGGAATGGAATGTTAATGAAATAAAACTCTTATCTAGAAAACACACCAGGAGTTTCATGAAATTTGTTGTATCTTCAGACGGAGACCCACATTGGAGCACCGGACTGAGCCCCCCAAGGTCCAAATGAGGAGCAGAAGGAGGAAGAACATGAAAAAGAAAATCAGGACTGCGAGGGATGCTATCACCCACTGATACAAGGGAACGGATCTAATGAGAGTTTACCAAGGCCAGTTGGACTGGGACTGAACGAGGACGTGATCTAACCAGATTCTCGGAATTTGGCCGGATTCTCTGAATGTGGCTGGCCCGAAGTCTTTCTGAAAAGCCATTGACTATGATACTGGGACTTGTTTCCTCTGCATATACTGGATTTTTGGGATCCAGTCTGTTTGGATACTCACCTGCCTGAACCTGGAGGGAGGGGGGCGGAACTTGAACTTCCCACAGGGCAGGAAACCCTGACTGCCCTAAGGGACGAAGAGGGAGGAGGAGAGGGAGTGGGGGGAGTGGGAGGGTGTTGGGAAGAGGGGCGGAAATGGAAACTTTTATAATTTAATAAAATTTACTCTCAAAAAAAAAAAAGAAATTTGTTGTATTTTTTCCTGGAAATACATTAAAATATATTTAAATCTTATTAAGATAAGAATATAGATCAGTATTTGATTTTTAAAAGGCCCTTGTCCTTGAAACACAAGGCTTAAAGAACTAATTTGTTGAATATCTAGTTTAAAATTCCCTTTTGTTTAAGTAACAGTTATACATAAATTATCAATTTTTAAATGTTGAAGTAGTAATAAAATAATTATAGCATTGTCAATAGGGAGTAGAACCAGAGACATGAAACGAGGGTTTGTGACAATATTGTAATCCTAGGACCTGTGAGACTAAGGAAGGAGGACCATGAGTTTGGGGCCAGCTTGTGCTACATATATTTTAATCTCTAAAATAGCCTAGACTACACAACAAAGAATGAGATCAAGTAAGATGGCCACTGAGTCTGAAGACATGAGTTTGATCCTTGGACACCACATGCTGGAAAGAGAGAAGCACATTGTCCTCTAGCCTTTCCTTTGTGCCTTGACACACACTTTGTTTCCCAAATAGATAAATCATTGTGAAAAATATTTAAAAAGAAAGAAAGAAAGACCTGTGAGGGTATGACAGCATATGCTTATAATCCTGCAATCCTTGGCAGGTTGAAGGAGAATGGGGAATTTGAGGCCAGCCTGTATTATAGCAAGTTCAAGCCTGATGTAGAAAATGTAACTTGGTCTTAAAAAATAAATGAAAAAAGGATCTGGGAAGAGGAAGAGGAAAATGAAGGAGGAGGAGACAAAATGGGGTATTATTGAGTAGAGCAGCATAGGACCTGAGTAAGGATGACAGACAGATTTGTGTTGTACTCTATTTTCTCAAAGAACATATCTGGCTATTTTAAATAAATGTGATAATTCAAGTTTAGGAAAAGCGTATCTCTATGACTCATTGTGAAACCATTTTTAGAATACATAGAAAAATCTCAAAAGATTTAGTCACATGTCCTGGGTTTTAGAAATGGCTTTTCAGAAAATATTGGAGGCATCACAGAGTATGAAAGAGTAGGTCATGTTAACTTGTTAGTTTTTTTTCTTTTTTAAACGCTCTTACTTTGTATGCAGCCTATGCTGACTTTGAACTCATTTTCATCCTGTCAGCCTCCTGGATGATGGTACTATAGACATGAGCTACTCTGCCCAGCTAATTGAGTTTCTTAAATAACGTTTTAGATTGGTTAGAAATGTTTGACTTTTTGTAGAAATGTGTAATTATACTTCTATATATTTATAAAGCTCTTTGTTTGTTTAAGGATTTTTTTTTTGACAGAGTAGTTTTTCTATGTGTGCCAGGCTATCCCTGAACTCGCTCTGTACCCCACTCTAGTTACAAACTTCCAGCAGTCCCCTTGTCTTGGCCTCCTGAGTGTCAGAATAAAGGTGTGTGCCTCTGCACTTGGCCAGTAAAGCTACTGAAATTGAGTAACGCCATCCTAGTGAAAACCTCGACAGATGTCACCTGGATCCTACTAATAGTCATGGAAGAACAAGCCACAGTGCTAGGCACTGTCCAACACCATGCCTTACTTCACTTGCTGTGTACCCATCATTTGGATGTAGAACCAGAAGTTCTACTTATTGTCTGGCATCTTTTCTTCTAAGCCTTCTAAGGCATCTGTTGACCTAATTCTGAAATGTCCAGTTATCTTGCTACAAGTTTTTATACCTATATCTGTAGCTCCAACATAACTGTGTTCGCTACGAACAAAATGGAAGCAAGCATGGTCCCAAGCAAGGATGACTAATAAATTTGTGAAGCATTTCATATTAACAAAAACCAGAACAAAAACAAAACAAAAAACTAAAGAACAAACAAACAAATAATCCCCCCAAACCAGAACAAAATGAAAAAAGGAAGAAAACTAACTAGTTTGTCACTATTCTGAATCACCTAGTCTAAAAAACGTCACTCACTGTTCAGAACCCTGTGCTGGTATTGTTTGTCTTCCTGGAACTGTCCCCTTGCCCAGGAGACAGTTGTTCCCAAAAGCAACTTCCAGATGCCAAGCATAGCCTTTCTTAACTTCTGCAGTCTCAAAGGAACTTGTTCTATTGAATGTTAGTGTGACTTACGAGACAGAAAGAAAAACAGCAGCAAAATAATGGTGAATCACAAGGACTAAATGAGACCTTGCTATACAGTGACCGTCAATAATTAGTTCACAGAACTAAAGTAAAGGCAGGATTTGGATAAATTACGTAACAGTTAAGATAATCCCCAAGCAGAACATCTCACGATGGTCTCCTTTGCAGAAACAGTTATGTATGACAGTGTCCATTTAGGTGTCTGGGGGAAAAAAAACAAACTAAATGAAACAAAAACAACCTGCCTTTGGAGGGAAGTTGAATTATTTTTAGTTTGTTTCATTCCATACTAATTTTTCTCAGTGGAATAGCTTTTGTATTTTCTAGATATTAAGACATAATGGCTTGAAAAATGATAACCGTTCAATGTTCTATTTGTTAAATGAGAAGAGAGACAGAAACACAAAATACTATACCTCCATGACACCATCTGAAGAGAACATAGAGGGCTATTCCTACATGCCACTGAAGTGTGAGATGACTCACGTCCCAAATGAGGAAGAAACCTTTCATTTCTCTCTGGAAAAAAAAAAAAGAAATCTTTATATCAAAAATTTTAACGAGACACTGAGCACTGCATTTCTCGTGATTATTATCTTGAATAGGATCCTTTCCTACAGAATGACAGAAATAGGGTAGACAGATGCCAGTGTTCTGAGGAGGTTTATCAAGCGGCAGATAAGCAGAGCATCTGGGTAGAACGTCCACCTTAGAGCAATGTTGCAGGTTATCCTACGAGGTCATTAGGCCCTTCTTAAAATCACACGGCTCCCGCATCAGGCAGCTCCCCTCTCTGCTGATGTCTGACCGTTCACAGCCATCAAGACTGGAAGACCGGTCTTTGATGAACAAAAGCTGGCAGAAACTGAAAGTTTCAGAATTCCCACGAAAAAGGATACAAAGTGAGCAAAAGTGAATCAAGGTCAAAACATAACTATGACAAGCCAAAGCTGCAGGGGCCTCTTCATCTCTAGGGCTCAGAAGAGACCTGTGATGGAAGGCACTGTCCATAGTTTTCACGTGGGGCCTTGCTCTTCACACATCAGTCTGGTTGTGGAATAAGTTAGTTACTCAGGAATAGTTATTGCACTTTTTGTAATTCAGTTAAACCTGACTTTTCCTATTGAAAGAACTTCAAAACCCAATTCATGGCTCACCAAACAGCATAAAACAGGCAATTGCATCTTTTGTGGCTTATGAATTTGGAGAGCTCTTTCTTAATTATGACAATGTGTCTCTAGAAGAGGCAGTACAAGCTGTAGAACTGCCTCATCAGAAGCTAACTGCTCACAACCTAGCTGTCAGAATTGTGGTGGTAGACAGTATGAGAGACTCACCTTTCATCAGGAGCATTGCATGGAAGAATCACAGAACATGTGCGAGAGAGCAGTTTGGCTTGTGCATCCCCGGAGGGAAGTGCAGCTGCCTTTCCGTATTTCAAGGATCAGGGTCTCTTTGCCTCTCTGCTCATTCGAAGGACCTTCTCTCTTCAGAGCCAAGCAACTGCCCTGGTGCCTGCCTGTCAGTGAGTGCTTCAGATTTTTTACCTATGCGGCAAATGGAAATGTCAGTAGAGCCTTGACCTACATTTCCGTTTCCTGAAGAGGAACTTGGTGTCCATTTCATAATGACTGGCTCTCGTGTCGCTTTTTGGGAAAACCCAGATTACTGAAAGTGAACTGCTGTGTCAATACTTTTTCTCCTCACCTCAACTGAAAATATTGTCTTATTCAAGAAGTCAAACAGATGGACATGATTGTACGTGCCTTTTTTCAGGGGGTGTATGGGTGTCTTTAATACTAGCACTTAAGAGGGAAAGGAAGGCAGATCTTTTTAACTTCAAGGTCAGCCTGGTCTATATAGGGAATTAGAGGCTAGCTAGGGTTACATAGTGAGACGTGGTCCCACAACAAACATTAGAAAAGAAAAGAAAACATCACTCCATATAGCTGCTTATTTTTCTACCTGCACCATACACTGAAGTGAGAGAGAGGACGAGGGCAAGAGATTTGGAGAAACCCTCCACTCTCCAGAGCTCCTTCAGAGATAACGGCAACTAAGGAGGCCACTAAGGAGGAAGTCACACCACTCTCTCCTGTTGGCCTCATTTCCAGATTCGTTTTTACCAATCCTAACCATCCACTGATGCGCAGAAGCTTCCTGAGTTCTAACCAAGAGGCTGTGTTTCCCCAGCGAGAAGCTGAAGTTTCTCTGTGCCAGCGCTCCTCCTTTTTCCATTGTTCCTGGGAGACAATGGTAGGTGAGGAAACGACACATTTTAGCGTGCAGAATTCTGAGAAATGAGATTTCAGAGCAGAGAAGGGTATATGGAAGGGAGGGACGATAAGCACTTCCCAGCACGACACAATGAAGGAGTTGAACCTTACAAGGGTAAAAGGGACAGGGATTATAGCCTTGTAAATCCTTAGTTTGCCAACCAATGCAGGGAGCAAACAAGAGAGACAGGCTTGTGAAGGAAGGAAAACAGAAAGTGGGTGAAAGAAAAGTCAGCTTGGGCGCCTCCAGCAAGTTAAAGAGCAACTTATGCACAAAACTTCAAATTTTTTCCTTATGGTTCCCGTGGTGGTTTGAATGAGAATGGCTCCCGTGTGCGTGGGCGCCGTTTATCTAGTTGGTGCTGTTTAGGGAGGTGTGGCCTTGGAGAAGCTGTGTTACCCGAGGTGCGTGGGGTGAGAGGGGGGTCTGAAGCTCACACCAGACACAATCTTTTCCTCTTTGCCTCCAACTTGCTGTTCAGATGTGAGTTCTCAACCCCTGCAGCAGCACCATGCCTGCCTGTCTGCTGCCATGCTCCCTGCCATAAAGATCATTAACTAACTCTCTGAAACTATCAGCAGGTCTCTACTGACGCTTTCACTTACTTTGGGGCTCTTACCAGGTACAATGTGATAATGCTGTCAGGCTGCTTGGCTTCAAAAATAATCACTGGAGAGAGAGAAGGACAAACCCTTCCATGCTTCAAAAGAATATAAGAAATTCCTTCCCTAAAAGGAAAGATAATCTTGAATAAGAATGACTAGGGTCGAGCTGGGTAGGTGAAATGCTTGCCGTGACTCTGATCCATTTACAGCTCACAGGGATATGTATATTTATTAAGAAAAGTTACTTTAAATCCCCACCTTTGGGAGGCTGAGGACCTCCAGTTCAAGGACAGTTGGGTTATAAAATGTTTAAAGATAGTGTGGGAAATTGAATAAGGTCCTATTTCAAAAAAGAAACAAAGCCTGGGTTTGGTGTGGTTTAGCTGTTAAGAGTGCTTGCTGCTCTTCCAGAGGACCCATTTTCAGTTCCAAGCAACCAAACTGTGGGAGAACATTTAAAACACAGTTGTGCTCAGACTTTTTGCAGACAGTGAGACTGCAATTTCTGTGGGCAAAATCTGGACACTGAAGAGGGGGGGGATTGGGGATGGCTTGGGGGACTGGGAGGGGGGGGAGGGAGGAGGGATGGATGTGGGAGCGGGGAGGTGTGTATCTCAACTAAGGGAGTCATTTTGGGGTTTGCAAGAGACTTGATTCTGGAGGGGTTCCCAGGCCCAAGGAGAGGTTCCTAGATTGTTCCCTGGGCAGCGGAGGAGACGGTGCCTGAACTGGCCTTAGCCCATAACCATACTGATGAATATCTTGCATATCACCATAGAACTTTCATCTGGCGATGGATGGAGATGGAGACAGAGACACACTTTGGAACACTGGACTTAACTCCCTAGGTCCAAATGAGAAGCAGATGGAGGGAGAGCGTGAGCAAGGAAGGCAGGAATGGAGGGAACCTTCATCTGACGGTGGATGGAGATGGAGACGGAGACCCACATTGGAGCACTGGACTGAGTCCCCAAGGTCCAAATGTGGAGCGGAAGGAGGGAGAACATGAACAAGGAAATCAGGACCACGAGGGGTGCGTTCACCCACTGATACAAGGGGACTGATCTAATGAGAGCTCACCAAGGCCAGCTGGACTGGGACTGAACGAGCGTGTGATCGGGCTGGATTCTCTGAATGTGGCTGACATGGGGGCTGACTGGGAGGCTATTGACAATGGCGCTGGGTCTTGTTTTGTCTGCATGTGCTGGCTCTCTGGGATCCTGGTCTGTTTGGATGCTCACCTTCCTGGACCTGGAGGGAGGGCGGGAGGAACTTGGACTTCCAGCGGGGCAGGAGGCCCTGACTGCTCTTGGGACTGGAGAGGGAGGAGGGGAGGGAGTGGGAAGAGTGGGAGGGTATTGGGAGGAGGGGAGGAACTTGGACTTCCCATGGGGCAGGAAGCCCTGACTGCTCTTGGGACTGGAGAGGGAGGAGGAGAGGGAGTGGTGGGAATGGGAGGGTATTGGGAGGGGGGGAGGAAGTGAAAATTTTTTTATAAATAAATGAATAAAAAAAATCTGGACACTGAGATTTTTACAAAACACCTCCTGAATGGCTATAATAAATGGCTAAGCTGAGAACTCCTGAAAAACATAACCGTGTTATAACTTTGAAGACCAAGCTGAAGAAGTGACTGCTAATCAGGAGCTATTATTTGTTATGGCCTTCCAAGCTGTGAAGGAGGTGTGAAAACCATTTCCCTCACTGAGAACAGAGAGAGCAAGTGGCAGCGCTTCAGTTTGCTTCTCCAGAGTGAGAGAAAAGAGAACTTCAATTTAGGAGAGAGTGAGCATGGCAGTATGTGCTTGTCATCCTAGTCCTTGGGAGTCTGAGGCAGGAGGAGCAGTTTGAGTCCAGCCTTAGTTATACAGTAAGATCCTCCCTGCCCAGTCCACCCCTGTCATGCCAAAACAAAACAAAACAAACAACTTCAGGTCTGCAGCAGCTGGAATTGGCATGGTATTCCTGCCTAAACAGTTAAGCTTCATTCTGAAGGCAAAAATGTAATGTCAAATATTGCTAAGTAAAGAAATAACATTATCCAATTGAGCTTTATAAGATAATTCGAATGACTATGAGGAGAACTGATTAATGACGAAGTCACCTTCCATGGAGGAAGGCTACCAAGACTCAACTGGGACCAGAAGAAAAACAAAGCAGTAGGAATTTGGAGAGCTATGTGGGGAAGTGGAGGTGTTCTGCAAATTCTTTTGCTTGGAATGGGTGAAAATATCCAGTTTCCCTGAGTACAATCAATACATTGTCATTACCAGTCTGCTAAAAGTTGTTTGTCTTTGTTTGGGTTGATAGAGTCTTAGTGATACATTATACTTTGTTATTCATGCTCACTCTGATCTCAGTTTCATGGTGTAGGCACCCCGCCTTTGACTAGTAGTTTCGCTACCTTACCATCCTCCAGTGGGTGAACATTTGGATCATGTCTTTCCTTTATCACTGGTGCACAGTTCACTAAACCTGATCTACTTTTCAACAATGAAAATTCTGAGTAATTAAAAAACATACAGACTAAGTGACATAGCTATTATTTAAGAAGGAAACAAACTATTTTCAATGAATTTATTAAAAATATTAACATAGTGCTAGGCATGCTTATCCAGCATATATAGGCTTTAGATTCATTCCTAACAGTAAAAGTTCTTTGGATTAATTCTTTCTAAGTTTATGTCTTATTTATAGGTTTGAAATAAATTGAAAATACTTTTACTCATGCTTCATATAGGTCAAATAAATGAGGAACTATTTTGTCTTTTAGTTATCACAACACTGAGCTGATACTTGAAGATTTTCTGAGGAGAAAGAGCCATAAATTGACTTATCTGAAAGATAATGCCTCCCCTGATCAGCAGCTCGAAGCTTCAGCTTCACGCTCCTTAGATTCACTCAGCTCTGTTAGAGGGAAAAGAGCAGAAGGCAGATTCACCCCATTTCCTGTGAGGTGCACACTAAAGGCTAGCTTTGCTTGATTTCCCAAGACTCTAAGAAACAGAGGTAAGTTAAAACTACTAGTGTGAAATATAAAATAGAACAACCACTTTGAAATTTAAACAGGCTCTTATAAATTCATACATAGAAATAAGAAACAGTGTTCCTTGGTATTTACTCAGAGGATAAAAATCTAGAAACACACAGAATATGGCATATAGAAATTTACAATTTGATTCATATTTACTCAAACTTGCATGCAACCAGTATGCCTTTTCGTAGGTGAATGGATAAACTGTAGCACAGACAGACGATAGAATATTATTCAGTGTTGAAGAAAATGAGCTATGATGTCATAGGAAAAAATGAGCTATGATGTCATAGAAAATGAGCTATGATGTCATAGAAAAAAAGCTATGACATCATAGAAAGGCATGGGAAAAGCTTAATGAAAGTTATTAGATAAAGAAGCCAGTCTGAAAGACTACATTCTGTATGATTCCCACTGCATGACATCGCAGAAGTTAAAACTGAAAAACAACCAACCAACTAATGAAACAAATAACAACATAATAATCACAGTGTCAGAGATTAGTCGAAGGGAGAAAAGACTGAGCATGGAGAACCTTTAAGGTAGTGAAATTACATTGAGTGATGCTGCAGTGATGGGCTCCTGTTGTTCTATATTTGTTCAAAC